TTAATTTTGTGTATGCTATCTTTAATTTGCGACAGTTTGTATTTTGACTTCAGACGAAAAAAGATGCTGTTTGCGTATGTAAGCAGGCGCCACGTCTTTTCGAAAAGTGCCGCTTCGCCAGGCGCTTCATCTTCCGCGGCCATTCCATGAGCGCGTGTTGATACCAAGTTATATGCTTTCAGTTACGTCAAGACAGCCATACATTCCTACGGTCCTGCTTGCCGCGTGCAACTGTGGCCAACATGCTGCCGCACAAGCGCGCTGACACACCACGACTTTTCGCCAAGAAAATTTACATACACTTGTACAGGCGCATTTTTCGAAACGCACGTGCGCATCCGCGAGGCAAAATTCGCTCCTGGCTTTGGGGACGATGTACGGAGGGTCTATTCGGCAGAGTACGACCGGACACATTTGTGCGAGGGGCTGCTTAAACGAGGGGGGTCCTTGTGAAGCAGCTGCCCGCGTTTCCAAAGGCTGTAAGTTGGATGATCGTAAGGTGTGCAAGGACATGTGCTAGGAACGGAATGGGGCCAGGCTGGCGAGGCGAGTGCAGCAGGAGAATGAATTGTGAGGCTTGCATACGAGGCTTACATGGCGATTGGCGCACGGCAAACTGCAAGTACATTGCAAGATGTCGTTGCGGGCGCAAGTTTGCTAGAAGCACAGGAACCACAACCAGAAGAAGAAGAACAGCAGCACAGCAACAGCGCGCGCACAGGACACGTCGCGTCGTGTCTGTGCAATGAAGGAGGAACAAAGGAGTAGTCCTAGAGTGGCGATCCTTGTTGCGCGCGGATGTCCATGCCACGACAGGCAACATGATGGGTGCTTTGCACGCTGCCAATTTGCTTCCGAGCACTCCAAGAGCGGACATACAAAGCAGCGCAACGGGCCCCCCCGCTATCCCTCAAACCTCACGCAATAGTCCATACCAAGCGCTGCCGTCCGTAAGGGCAGCAGCTGCCGTTCACACACGGGTTAAGGTCGGACATGTATGCACCGTGAACGAAGGCCTAAGGGCGATCGTGCCCAAATGAAACAGCACTGGCGCGAGTTTGCTAGAAGCACAGGAACCACAACCAGAAGACCAAGAACAGCAGCACAGCAACAGCGCGCGCACAGGACACGTGACGTGGTTTCCGTGCTAAGAAGGAGGAATAAAGGAGAAGTGTTAGAGTGAAGATCGATGTGGCCCGTGGATGGCCACGCCAGAACAGTGAACATGATGGGTGTTTTACACCCTGCCAAGTTCCCCCCGAGCACTCGAAGAGCGGACATGCGATGGAGCGCAAGGAGCCCCCCCCTATCCTCAAACCTCACGCAATTGACCATCCCACGCGCTGCCGTCCGTAAGGGCAGCAGCTTCCGTTCACACACGAGTTAAGGTCGGACAAGTATGCACCGTGAATGACGGCCTAAGGGCGATCGTGCCCTAATGAAACAGCACTGGTCAAGGTCGGGAAGCCTCGCGCTGAATACGCGGGACCCACTCCGTCAAGCGTGAGGCGTGTAGGTGCTGTGAGGGCTAGGCGAGCGTGTCTGGGGCGTCATCGTCATTGTCTTGGACCGTGATGGCGGTGGGCGTGTGTGCGCTGCCTGCGCGTTGCCGCCTCATCGCGTAGAAGGCCGGGCTGGCGGAAGGCGGCCCGCACAGCACATGGTAGCCGCCTGGCCCCCGAGCCTTGAACTGCGCGATGTAGAAGGCCTCCATCCGTTGGGCCAGTGCAGGATTGGCGGTGGACATGAGGCGCGTGAGCGAGAAGTGGTCATGGAAGGGTTGGTAGCGGCTGGCGTCCTCCTTCATCCGGCTGGGTGGGTTGCGGGCATGAGCTTGGAAGCGGCGTTGAGGGTCCTGTGACTGGCCGACATACACTCTGCCGGTGGGAGCGCACGTGATGGTATACAGTCACGTGCGGGGGGAGGCACTTGAATCTGGCTCGGCGGGGCTGCTTGCGGCTCGCTTGGCTGGCGTGGTTGTGGTCAGGAGGGCGCCCGACGCTCGCGCCTGCTGCGCGGCCGTCAGCACCGAGCGCGCGAACTCCTGGTCCGTCTTGAGGACGGTGCCCGCGTCCATGCCATAGTCATAAATGAGCTCTATGGCGGTATCTGCTCGCAGGCTGCCGGCAGCCGCGATCCACAATTGCATGACCGCCGCATGCGTCGCGGTCGCACGGTCCGGCATGTCGCCTTCGTGTATTGCTGCCGTGATGTTGTACAAGTACGCTGCAGGTGTTGGGAGGGAGGGAGGGCGGATGTGAGGTTGGCGGGATGTCGGGACGGAAGTGGAGGCATGGAGTGGCGAGGCGTGACAGGAAGGGATGCCGTGGCCACATGGCCGGACAGATGGAGAGCGGGCACGGGGCACGGCAGCGGGTGCAAGCGAGGAATGAGCGGCAAGGCAGCACGACTCACTGCTGGCGGGCTTGGCGTGGTGCTGCTCCAGGAACTCGTCCCTGTACTTTCGGGCTTCGGCCAGGAGCACGTTGAACTCTGCAATGGTGTGGTTAGCGCGCAGGACGTCCTCGCCGTGACAACCCATGCTTGCCAAGAGCAGCTGCTGCCTGACGGAACGAGGGCCAGCAGCAGGGCGTGTCAGGATGTTGGATGCACGGGACAGGCGGAGTGGCGCGTGGGCGCGCAGCAGGAGTGGCAAGCGTGCTGTGTGGCAGGGTGCGGCGCGGCAAGGCGGCAACTAGCAACGGAAGATGAGGCGCATACTTGAAAGACAGCGGCCGTCTCGGCACCCCGGATGGCGTGGAGCGAGCGCGGCCTCCGCCTGTTGGCGACGCCGCTGCTAGTTGCGCCCACAGGTCGGCGATGTGGACGGGCGGCTTGGCTGACGCGCCGGCCGAAGAGCCCGACGGCCCGCTCGGCGAAGGCGCGCCGTAAGCGCCCAAGTCGGTGGGCGGAAGGGACTGTTGCGGGAGTTGGGATGGGCGAGCCAGTTTGGGAGGCATGTTGATCGTGGTTACCAAAGTAGAAGTGGGGTCAGCGAAGCGAGAGGCTGGCTGGCTGCCGACCGCGAAAGCGAGTTTGGTATATAAGCTTAAAAATGGAAAGAGGTGAATGTATGGAATGGAAGGCGACACAGGCCTGCATTTATACAAGTCGCGGCACCGTACGAACCGGACGCTTCAAGGGGGCTGGGTGAATCGGAAGGGCGCCGGAGGAGTCGGTACGTCTTCGCATGGTGAGCATGGGCGTCGGCAGCTGCGGTAACGTGTGGGGCGCTGTGACAAGTGGAATGCGGCAATGAAAAAAGCGCCATGGAAATGGCAGGCGGACAAGCGGAAATGTGAGTTGGCCTGCATAGCAAGCATCAGCAGGGAGCCACATTATCAACAGGGGATCCTCTAGA